CATTACACCATGCCACATGACATATTAAGTAATTGATAATAATAAAATAAATTAAAAACAAAGATTTGTCCTCTATCAGCAGGAGGCATGGTGAAATAGGAGCATGCACGTAAATTCTCGTGGGAACAACACGCAAATATAAACATCACCGCATACACGAATTCAAGTACGACAGTCACCACAAGTAGCACCTGTTCATGAGTATGACGCTATACGTTAATGAGAAATCATCTTGAAAACGAAGTCCCTCCCGAAGTGTCTGAACGCTGTTTAGCAATAGATTGATGATTCTTAAATAAGAATGTAAATTGTCATAAATTCAATTATTGTTGAAAATCTCGCTAAAAATCTTGTCAACGAGGGCGAAGAGCAAAATCATGAAGCATACAGGGGCATTTTTAATATCGATCGAAGTTACGGGTTTATTTCTGTATCATAAAACTAACAAGGAGAATTCATGACCCTTTATAGCGTGTCAAACGGTTGTTATGTGTCACGTACGCTGACAAGTTGTGGGGTGAACATTTCGATTTTTCACGTCTTCTATTTTAACATAAATATAACAATGTTATCTATACTTGTTATGTAATATAATCTACACTAATAATTTGTAGAATCGTTTTTTATTTTAATGTATAAACTGTGTAACGATTTAACGATTCTTTCACCAATATTCAGCTACATTATCAGCGAGTTAATACGCTGTATAATTTATAGATAAATATATATGTTAATAGGAGCGGAGCATCGCTGATGAAGAGGTAATCGCCGAAACTGAAGCCTATTTTGAGGCTAAAGATAAATCGTACTATAAAAATGGTATCGAAAAATTACCGCTATAATCGTTGAATCGCTCTCAATAGCTAAACTATTTTGAATAATCAAATCAAATTCTATAAAAAAAAATTCTACGAATTATGAAGACCCTAAAAATAAAAGAAAAACCCGCAAACAATGTGGATGTCCAATGTGAATAATGACCATAGTTATAATTCGTCTTTTAAAAGTAAAAAATAAAACCAATCAGTGGCGCTGCAAGCTTTTTAGATATGGGCCTCAGATTTCTGAATCTGTTTCATGATCATTTGTTAATCTAATAGCCAAGTAGGTGATCAGCCTCCTGTGACACACGCTGTCGAATTTTTGGGTGTAAGGCAAGCCAGGTTCCTCTCGATGTTTTCCTTCACCGTTCGAGCGAATGTTATATACACAGAAAGTCCATTGGTGCACAGCTAGGAATTGAACGGACAACCTCAGGGTTGAGAATCGCACGCTGAAGCCACTAGGCCAACACTGGTGTCTTTTACATGTAGCTGTTTTTATTATTATATTGTAACTCTTGCACCGTTTTTCCATTAAATTTTCAATGAAGAAATCACCGCCAATAACATAATAAACAGTTCTGTATCATATCTCGTATAATCCCCGTCGATTCGAAACAATTTCTCGCAACAGTAATTTAATTATCTTCTCGAACTTGTGTATAATTTATCTAGGCTTTGTATGTAATTAATTCTGAGAGTTCTGAGGATATTGTTCATGTATTCTAATTAACAAGGCCATAAGACCGTGATTGTTATTTACAAATTAAATTGGTACTTGGCTCAGCCATTTTAGATGCGGAATAGCTTTTTATTACAATCGTAACACAAAACGAGAATTGTAATGAACATAAATTAACTTCCAAGAGTCACAATATTTCTTTTCTTATACAATATTACATTTATTAAGGCAGAATTGTTTTGTCTTGAAAAATTCTAGCATTTTGCCGCTTTCCTTGTAATACCGATATATTAAAAGATTAAAGTCTTGAGAATTCTGAAAATAACTTCGGTCGGGTCGGTTATAAATAATAATATATGTATATTTATAATAATAATAATGTATTTATTTATTTACACTTCGTTACATAATATGTTACATTTATAGAAAAACAAATAACATAATACATTAAAATTTAAAGGATGCAACGGGCGGCCTTATCGCAAGCGATCTCTTCCAGGCAACCCTAATAAGCCTAAGCTAACAGTTTTTTCCAAGGACCTCTTATAATATACCTTTATATAGACCTCCTCCATCTGACTCCATCTCTCTCTATCTTGAGCATTTTTCTCCCAAACTTCTGCACTTCTTTCAGCTCTTCATTTCCCTGATGGCTTTTTCCACTTCGTTACCCTGTAAGTCCATCTGCTATTGTTCACGCGAGCGGTGTGACCCGCCCATTTCCACTTTAGTTTTTGTGGTTAAAATATCCAGTTTAAAACGCTTTTATTACAAATTAAACTTGAAACTTCCAAATACTAATCTAGAGAACACAATCTAATATTTGGAAAATATTGGAAAACCCATGTTACAATCTATAAATTTATTTTACGCGTTGTTTGACCGTATACTAAGTATATTTAGAAAGTAACTACTCCCAATAAATCCAAAAGGAAATGGGTGCAAAGCGAACGAGTTCAGTTTGGTATAAACAAAAATACATTTGTGTGGAAACCATAAAAGCGCCGGTCATTTGCCAATGGCCTCGTACATTGTTAGCGTTAGTATATAGCTTTCTCCGTTTAGTGTTTTCTGCTATGTTCATATTGAAGTGTCTGAGAAGGTGAATATTTTTTGGAGAATTTCCAAATTTTAAACAATAAAACAAAAATAAAGAAACGAAAAATCTGCAACCCAGACCCTAGGGTTGTAGCGTGATAGGATTATGATTATAATCCAACGTATTAAATATTCGTGGTTCTACAACTGAAAGAGCGTACCCATTCTTAAAAGGCTGGCAACGCACTCGCGAGCTCTCTGGCATTGAGAGTATCCATCGACGGCGGTATCACTTAACATCATGTGAGCCTCCTGCCTGGTTACCCTCTGTTGCCATCCTATTTACATCACATTACTATAAATAGTATCAGAATTGTTGATATTTAGATTTTTCTACCACCATATTCATAAATATCTATTTTTTATAAGCTGTACCCAAAAATTGTTCTAATACAATCTCATACGTAAGTTGCAAAGAGATTATGTTCATTAAAAATGGATAAAAATTCTCTGAACATTGAGCTTCTTGGCTTAAACCGTGAATATCCGTTTCAATAGTTTACGACTTATTACGTTTCTTAGAAACCATTCGTACAAGACGTTCATTAGTCGCCATTGTTTTTTGTTTATTTGAAGACTGAAAAGCTAACAAATATATTTTAGAACATTGCAAACGGGTGATACCCATGAACACTAACCTATTTGCCTTAGACTTGTTCGTACGATAAAGAAAAGCATCGTAAGAAAATATCTAATATTAGGTAGGCTAAAAACTTCGTAGGCTGATATAGAAAATCTTTTTTGTTGATAGAATTTGATTTGATTCTTCAATCGGCCTTGGAGAGCGATACAACGTTTATAGATCATACAATTATTCGATACCATTTTTATATTACGATTTGTCTTTAGCCTCAATCTTAGGCTTCAGTTTCGCTGATTACCTCTTCATCAGCGCAATTCAAAGAACAGGAAAAAGTTGCTGGGGCCTGGAGAATACTGTTGGTGCGGAAGCAATTTGAAGCCCAATTCATGGAGTTTTGCCATCGTTTTCATTGATTTGTGACACGTTAGATTAGATCAAGTTGGACCGTAAAATCGAAGACTTGTAACACAGAAATCTGACCACTTTCTTGACTAAAAATAATTCAGTTCTCTAAGTTCATAAAAGGTCCTATCCATTATATTTTTACAGAATCATTTCATAAAGCGATTGATCACATTATAATATATCTAGCTAATAAATTGCCTGAAACATTAGAATGAAATCAGTCTGTTACCACTTTACTGAAGATACGTATAAAACGTGGGTCATATATTTAATACATAAATATTCAGTCAGATCGGTGCCAACCTCATTTGTCTTTTGGCTGTTCATCAGCTCAATAGTATTAGTAGTGATTTATAAAGTAAATTTATTGAGTTTTCTTATTTATGTATTACTGTTTAAAGCTTATAATTTAAGCTTTAAGCCCGTGTAGGTGGAGATAGATTATGATTATATATCACTATATCAATGAGCGTTAGAAATTTTTGTTGAATTAGTCGTGCGTTCTAATCCCGGCTTGAGAAACAGTTGTATTCTTAATTCTATTGTTGTTAGTACATATATATTTTATTTCCGTTTTCCGTGTAGAGGGTAATGCACACTTCTTGATGTATAATGCTGATTGATGTCCACAACAAACTTATCCTAAACCAGAATTTTAAATAGTTGTGTAAAATTCTAATCAAATATGTGCAGATTAATAACTTATTAAGATAATGATTAAAGAGAATTTGCCAATGTTACCCCAAGGATATAGTGAGTCGTATAAATAAATAAATAAAATGAAAATAAAAATTTGTTTATTCAATGTGTAAGAGTTGGGAACCTTTTTGAGTATATAAATACCTGTGATGTGATTAAATACTTACTTTAGTTTTTACACTTTTATCCACAAGATTATATTCACTGGATTTGTCATTGCGAGCTACATCTAATAGTGTTAATTTATTTTCTAACACACGAAATTTATAAGATTTTTCAACGATAACATCGCTAAGATCATCGCCACTCACCAACTATCCACTATGACAGATCTAAACAGAGATTACAGAAGTGAAATGAATGAAGCAAAACTTGGCCAAAGCTTATATCAACCTTGTTTATTTACACTTCTCTATTTATTTAACTATTCGTTATCCTACAGCTAATAATTAACTGAACATTTAGCAAAAGATGGAATAAATAATATATACAAAAAGGTTCAAATAAAACTTAATATTTAATTCGGCTGTGCTGTGTGTGGTGTGAATGTGAGTGTAATACATGAGAGTGTGTATGTGGTGTGTGCTCATGATGCAGGTGATCTCTAGATTAGGATATAACACATTCAAGACAAAAGCTATAATGAGAACAATTTTAATGAAACATATATCTTTTCAGATCTGTGGTTGAAGCAACGGATGTCCAGCTAAACATGCGCGTAGGCATCCATACTGGGCGCGTGCTGTGCGGCGTGCTGGGCCTGCGCAAGTGGCAGTATGACGTTTGGTCAAATGACGTCACTCTTGCTAATAATATGGAAGCTGGAGGGGAACCTGGGTAAGTGGTACTAGTCTCATATTTGTACGTTTAGCCAGTTCTAAGTTCGATTTCTACATTTATTATATAGCATAATTGAGTGGGTAACGGGTCTGCACTGACTACTACTGAGCTACTCAGCCATTCTCCTGCTGCTTTTCTTCAGTTTTTTATGATATAATGCGTGAAATTTTCAAAAACTTTATTACTCAGAAAATTATTATAAAAATTCAAAGTACCTAAGCTGACAAGTACTTAGTAGATAAACACACACCTCGGTTAAATACTTCATGCTTGTGATCGACTTTTCTATTCTGTTCCTGTCAACGTCGAAAAAAAATCAGTGGCGCTGCAACCTTTTTCAGTCTGGGCCTCAGATTTCTGTGTCTGTTTCATACCTCCTGTGCCTGACACACGCCGTTGACTTGTTAGGTCTAAAGCAAGCCGGTTTCCTGACAATGTTTTCCTTTTCCGTTCGAACGAATGTTAAAAGCTCACATACAAAGAAGGGGCACAGCCGGGGATCGAACCCACGACCTCAAGAATGAGAGTTGCACGCTGACGCCACTAGGCCAACACTGCTCTGCTCAACGTCGATAGTGAACAGATATTCAAATGACTGCCCTTAACTGAATATGTATGGTGCAAAGTTCGATTTGCATATTACAGGCGGGTGCACATTACTCAAGCGACGCTGGAGTGCCTGGGAGGCGCGTACGAAGTGGAGCCGGGGCACGGCGCTAGTCGCAACGCGTACTTACGGGATCATTCCATACAGACCTACTTTATTATTCCTCCTCCCAGGCGGAGAAAGGTACGTTGACCCTTAAACCACGAAGTAACCAATGGTCTACCAATGTGGGCTATTTGATACATCAGGTGACGTTATCAGGTGGTATTATAACACATAGAGCATATAGGCGGAAAGTCCGTATAATATTATATAGGTATACAAATATTGTAACTGAGGAGGCTAAACACCTATTTATGATTTAAGAAGAACTTGACATAGTAGTTTGTTAAGAAATTTAAAAACGAGGATTTTTCTCAATTAATTTTGCCACATAGTGGAAATTCTATATTTATGACATTTAATGCTTAGCACCACAATCGTATGGTGGAAATTAATCCCGTGTACGTTTTATTCAAAAAGTTTTTATCAACTTATTGAATAAAACGTATTACTGGGAATGAGGATCAACAAATCTAATAAAATTTCTTTCGTTCACATTAAATATCGGGAATCATAGCGATTGTACTAATGTTAACCGGAAATCAGGTCAAGATGTTAAATAATGTAAACAAAGGGGAGAGTTACAGGTCGCAGAACCCCTGATGTTATTTCATTAAACATTCATGGCTCTTTTGGTTGTTTGTCATTCCGTTCATCAGTAACTAATCTCTGCAATTGAATAATTATTACTTAAGGCGGCAGAAGCAGAAACTTAATGCAAAGCTTTAGACAAGACGCGGAATACTTCTTTAAAATATAACATTATTTTAAGTGGAAGCCCTGGATATATGACCAACATTATACGTGTCTGCTTATTCCTGGGCCTCAGATCCAAAGGCACGATACTCGGTTAAAAATCTCGTGTTTCACTCCATAATTACCACTCCTCTCCAGAAGTAGTTATAAAAACTTTTATCTAATTTCTAATGACACGAGATTAGGATTAAGTACGTGTATGATATTTATTTATATCTTTCTTAAAATAATATTTCTTTTCCAGATGTGCCTGACAGCCGGAATGGGTCTAAGTACAGGGTCCCGGAGGAAACTCTCGTTCAAAAACGTTTCAAACGTTGTAGTACAATTATTGCATTCGATAAAATTCAATGTCGATGTGCCATTTTCAAACATGGCCGCTTCGCCACAGGAGCTCAAAGCTAACGCCGCTAGAAAGGTATAATTTATATATTTTGCGATATTTAAATAAGAGAAATCTATGCACTGTGGCGTCTTAAATTGGTTTTGCACTTCGACACGCCTTAATATAACAATACCGTGTCGATTTTTATCAATTTTAAGTTCACGATTGTGACGTTGAATAAGGTAAGTTTTATTCTTTAGTAGTATTAATAATATTTTAAATAGTTTCGTAGATTATTAGGCATTAAATATTGAAATAATTTAACCCAAACGCCACAGTTTCATGATCGTAGTTCTCACGTAATTTCTATTAGACCTAGAATTTAAGAAGTAAAACAGGTTTTACTGCGATGTGCCTGGTAATCCAAGTTAGAAGGCCAACGGTTATCAATCTGAAGATTAGGGAATACATATAATAGTCTCGCTTTTGATGTTCTGTTGTAATTGTAATTTGTACATTATGATATGTGCATTTGCGTCTGTATGTCGTTTCCCAAGCTTCGCGCCTGCAGTGTTAAAGCGAGTGGGACCACAAGAAGGTACACAATATTGATGAAAAGGTAAAAAATAAAAAATCATGAGACAAATACGCCCATGACGGAATTCAAGATATGTAAACGTGTGGTCGTTGAAACATTTATTCCATACTTTTAAACGTTCAGAGAAAATGTGATTTCATTCTCAACCCAACTGTACACTGCTGTAAATTTAAGTTCTCTTAGCAAACCGTTTCGTGCGTTTCGCGATGTGCCGAGGTAGTTAGGTGTGAGGTGAAGTGAGTGCTGTTGGCGGCAGGTGCAAGACTTGCGTCGCGCGCTGCACGCCGAGCCGGGCTCCGCGGAGGCTCTGCGGCTGGCTGCCCTGAAGGACGACGTGAGCGCGCTGCACCGCCCCCCGCCGCCCTCGCCCCCTGCCTCCGCCCCGCACCAACACACCTTCGACGCCGTCATGCAACACCACGCACTACGCACACATGCAACGGTCCACACACACTCTCATACGCTAACAGACGTGAAGCAACTCACAATTTTTGATTGGCTTCTTGCCGCGTCGGATTTTGGTTGCTTTGCGTTCGCACTTTAAAACTAATAGAATGAGTAGGTTTTTGAGCGCTTCTCACGCAGCTATCGATTTGAGCCCGAAGGCTCTCGTTTTATTTTCGCTTCAAGAACGTAACGCAAATCTGGCTTCGTATTTTAGTAGTTTGATTTTGGGTGAATTTTCTGTGTGCCGCTTTTTCTAAATTTTACACTATGCTCTGATAATTTCGGTTCGCGAATCTTTACAATCCGTAGGGGCCTTTTAAATATACGTGGAGTTAGCGATAAATGTTCTTATTTTGCACTTTGTGAATGTGACGGTTTCCGTATTCAACATTTTAGTTGCTGGTTTGTCGAAGCTTCTGCTCCAAATAAGTTGCAATTCCACGGCGGAACCTCATCCCGCTCGATATAGATGTGAACCCGTCCTCGGTAGGCTCCAGTACCAGCAACTAACATGAGACGTCTGCTCGTTGTTTTTCAGATATTCCGACCCTGGACATTAGTTCCACAACAAATTCCCGCCGAAACAGTAAGCTCAGAGTGTTGTTCTTGTGTATTGTATCCCATCGTACACCGGGTGACAATCCTCTACTTCTTAGGTCTATCTATCCACATCACCAAACCGCGTTTCGGCAACTACACGAGTCGCGCACTCGACACCATTCGCTGTGATCTTTATATTCTGTATTGGTTGTTTGGAAATAAAGTCGAACGCACAAAACTGTGTTTCACTCGCTACCCCGTCTGGCCACATTGCACGGCATGGCATGGTCCCTATGCATGGAGTTCATTTTATAATAGTCTCTATACGAGTAGTACTAACATAGATGGTTAAGTTAAAAATATTAAGTGAAGTATATCTCTCATTTCCAATACTATTCAAATGAACTTAATGTCTGTAAAGTTTAAATTTAAGTCTTGATGTAAATATTGTTTTCTGATCTGATCGATGTTTCTATGGATGTGTCTATTGCAAATCTAATAATGTACGCTGCTTTGGAAATCTGGATTTTTCTAAGGTCAGTCCATACTGTGGATGTAGCATGGATGGAGTCGGCATGCGGTCCCTCTGTGCCCCGAATCACACCCTCGCCACATCCAGCAGACGGTGCTTCAGTATAGATGTTTTAATGTTCGGGTGTTTCTACAGAATAAAGTGACGGAGAAGTTTAAGCGGCCTTTGAAAAAGCGTCATTCCTCTGTGTACCACCAGCCCACGAACCGCGTCAACAAGTACCTGGCGCAGGCCATTGACGCGCGCTCCGTGCACCGCGAAAAGGCCACGCACGTGCACTTGCTGACACTTTGCTTTAAGGAACCTGATAAAGAAGAACAGGTAACTTCGACTATAGTTCTTGCAGCGGCTAGGTAAACGCTTCTTTTTAGACAGAAATAAAATTCTATGTCTCCTACCGCTAAAGAAAGAATAATTCTAAAACTCTGTGTTTAAATTTTCTAAAAGTTCAATCTTGTCGGCTGTCTCAGAAATAAAATAGTATTTTCTTTTTTTTTTCCTTTTTCTATTCCTTTTATTCGTGTCTTTCTATTTAATTCTGCCGCTATAGAAATTCTAGAACTCAGTGTTTCAATTTTCTAAAAGTTCAGAAATAAAATTCTATTTTCTTTTTCTTTTTTTTCTTTTCTTTCTATTTAATTCTACCGTTAAAGAAAGAATAACTCTAGAACTCTGTGTTTCAATTTTCTAAAAGTTAATTCATGTCGACTGACTCAGTTGTAAACGCTCTTGTCATTCCTTATATATTTAAACTTTGATTCTCTATTTCCAGTATCGCGCTTCAACAGACGGTGGATGGGCTGGTTCTTTGAGTGCTGCTTTGGGTGCTTTAGTCGCAGCTGGAGCGCTCCAAGCCGCAATACTACCACGGACATTGATCCTTCTTATACTCTTCGTAATCGCCTTCGTGTGGTCTGCTGCTGTACTCGTTCTGACTTTGGCAGCCAGGTTAAGACTCATACCCTGTGATGTATCAAGACCCTTTGCTCTAAGGAATGCCATTACTACGTTCACTATTGTTTTGGGCTACGCTGTCGGACAAGCTAACGTGGTATGTTGGTTCTTATATAGTATATGTAGCGGATATATATATATTTTTGAAGTTATACTTCTTTAGGCGCGTTATGAAAAATTTATGAGAGTGAAATTTTACGATGCGCGCGCACCGTGACACAAAATTAGGAGTGTGATTATAGCGTGCGCGAGCGAGATAGGAATAAGACAATCTACAAGTAAAAAGAAATAGAATATGCGTGAAGTTCGTATGCCAAGAATTTTGAATGACCATAATGACATTTGTCATTTACCTTTTAAACAAATAAAGGAGTTTTAATTATTTTTTCAAAGAAATTTAGCAATGCTTTTTGAATTATATATAATCAGAAGTGATTTAAATTGAATATTTAAACCAATACTAATTAATATTTGTGAAAAAACTGTGCTCATCAACCTTCCTAAGTGCTTCATTACAATTGAGGTTAACTATCAGTTTGTATTATTATTATCTAAAAAATTACCACATTGTTTAATCAAAACATGTAATTTTTCTCTAGCAAATATAAGGACAAGAGACAAAAAACAATTGATGAATCAGTGTAAGTGCACTAAATTGAATACAAAAAAAGAGTTGTCATCTTATCGCTGTGAAACATCAAAAACTGGAGGTGGAACAAAGCCAAACTATTTTTAATAATGCCAAAGAAGTATAACTTCTTACGCACGTACATAAGTACACGCACCCTTTTTTTTTTATTTAAGTCCCCTATATCTATAGCTAAAGTTTTTTACTTAATGTAGCATTCTAAGGGTGAAATAATTTTTCAAATCGGTTATCTATTTTTTGATTTCATTTGTTTTTTTTTTTTGGCCAACGGGCTCACCTGTTTAGATAGCCCATGGACACTCAATGCCAGAAGCCTCGCGAGTCCGGCCTTTGTTTTGTTATAAACATACAGATCTTACCTCATTATAAAATAAGAGGCTACGTCAATCATTATTAAAAGTTTTAAAGCAAAATTTTACTAAACTTTTGAAACCTTTATAAAAATTCTAGCTGTTGTGATAGATCGAAGCTTTCCTGTAAGAATGAAAAGTTGTCGAGGCGAAACTTTTTTTATATAGGCTATTTATTTATTTATAAGTTTTAAAACAACGTGTATACAGAATGCATAAAATTATACAAGAAAATATGACATCACAAATTTTATACACATTCACAAGGGAAAAAATTAAACAAGCAAACACAAAATAATAAATAAAATGAATAATAACTAATAAAAATAATTTAATATAACAGATACACATACATAATAATTTACACTTTATTTTCTTTAATAATGCCCTTCTAATGAGCACAAATCTTCCAGTTGTCATGCCAACCGGTAAACGTGTGCGGCAACCTAACGGAGAACACCACGACCATGGATGGACTGAGATCTCTTAGAGGGGATGCGGTATCCGCTCTATGGAGCAGTCCGGACATTCATCGCATGTGCCCTATACCACTTTACATAACTCTCGGGTGCTGCTTGAGTATGTTAACCGTCGCTGTCTTCTTGCGATTACCGATATTGATAAAGGGGATTTTACTGGCGGTGATGACGGCAGGATATGTCGCTGTGATGCTGATTTACCATAAATACCTGTTCGATTGCTACGATCTTATGACTGAGTGAGTACTAATAATAAGCATTTTCGTCCACATCTTATGTATCTGGCATACATTATACAAAAACGTCCGGGAAAAGGCCTCTTCCAAAATTTTCATTCAATATTTGTTTTAGTTATTATATGTACTTATATATAAAGCTACAATGATCTATTAAATAGACAAGTAGGTGTCTTTACAAGTTTTCTTTTAGAATAAGTGTTATTTTGAGCTTAGAACTCTTGGTGCGATTCGATTTTGATGGTTGAAATGAGCACGCTTAAGCCACACCCATAATTTACGGACACACAATATAAAAGTTGCTTTCTGTGTTATTAATTCACCCATTTCCAAAGTTTTAAAAATAGAAAATTAAAACAAATTTAAAAGTTTGGTCCCTTTAACGCTGGCAGCATTATTAGCTGTATTGCAATACTTATTAGTTGAGCGAGGAAAGCACCAGCTCTGGGGTCAACGATACTATCTACCAGGCACCGAGTTAAATCTTTAATTAGCCGCCTGTGCACTTGAACCCCACGGACCAAGAGTCTACTCCAAAGGGAACAAAATCGGAGTTGGAGGAAACCCTCTTATATTTGAGCCGTTTATTATTTTCCGCCTGCTCTGCGGCCGCGTCAGCTTTTTTCATGTATTATATACTAAGTGATCAATTCTACTGTAAAACTACGATAGGAGTGAGAAATCGTGTCATTGGTTTTATTAAATTTTCAGTTCGGGCGTAGTTAGTTCGGCATACGTGTCAAGTGCGTGGGCGGTGGCTCTGGCACTTGCTGTGCTGCTGCATGCGAGGCAGACCGAGTGGACGGCGAGGCTCGACTTCTTGTGGCAGGTGCAGGCCAGGGATGAGAAGCGGGACATGGATGCGTTACAGGTTTACACACCAACTATTTAAGTTTGAAGCGTGATTATAGAGGGGACATATACTGGTACATGTCGCAGAGTCGAAGCGATTAATATTAGCCGGATTTATCACTATTATCGTCCGAAATTTGGATTTTGTTTTAAAATAAGTCAGCGCAGTCGCCATAGATTAACCTCAACGATCGATTCAGCGCACTACTGACAAATTGACTATTTATAACCTGTAAGATGTATTTGATATTGCGTGGTGTTGCTATTAATAAAACAAATGACATCGAGTTTTTTTTACATAATTAATTTTTTATTTTAAATACATTGAATGTCCTAGATGTGTCTGATTTATCTACGACGACGTTGGAACAGTTAAGTTATGTCAGATTCCTAGTTTATTGATAATTGTCATTTATGTGTAAATGCTCAGCCTTGCAGCAAGGTTTTACATTGATGTATAATTCGGGGCCTGGAGGAGAGATATCGAGTAGAATAGCGAATTACAGATATATACGATAGAATTTTTGAAAAGAGCGTACCAATTCTTAAAAGCCCGGTAACGCACATGCGAGCCCTCTGGCATTGACAGTATCCATACCGGTATTACATAACATGAGGTGAGCTTCCTGCCAGTTGGCCCCCTGTTCTTTAAAAAAAAGATATGGTAGAAATTGCAAAGTATTTTGTTTTGTCTACTATAAGGGTTTCTCTAAAATCCTAAAAAAAATTAAATTTAATATTTACTCTTACAGGCATCAAACAGAAGAATACTTTTTAATCTGCTCCCTGCACACGTGGCTACACATTTCTTGGACAATCAGTTCAGGACAAATATGGTAATTTCAAATTGGTATCTGCGCTTAAACAGTTCTGAATCGAGGCTTAAAAAACTGCTTTTTATTTGGGAATATCGTTCAAACATTAAGACATCACGCTCATTCATCAATCACCATTCAATTGGCACAATCATTCATTCTATTGTCTGTTACGCACTTCGCACAAAATTATTTAGGGTCAAATGACAGTGAGAATATGTAATGAAACAGATCTTTAAAAAATTCTGACTTATTGAAAATTTAGAATTTTTTAGTTAAATATTTTAACTGTTAACCGTTCATGCAAATAGGATTTGTTTTGGGTTTCATTCATGCTTTTAACGCTTTTGACATTTGCAAGCACGACCGAAACTTATCTTATTCTGCACCCAGCGATAAATGTTTTAAAGTTATCCAAAGATCTAAAGTCCTTCATTAAAAAAACCGTGAAAATGATTATTTGTAATATACAAAATGAACAATGTTTATGAACAAGTTTCAAAATATTTTAACCAATTCGTTAGTAATGTCATAAATTATACAATACTTTGATAAGATACCTATGAGATAAAGCCAGTCAACTTCCCTTGATAATCTTCTTACTTGGTTTCTTAGTGTTTTGTCTTCGTCCAAGAGTAAGCATTCCAATTTTCTTGACCTTATATCGTAACACAATAGCTTCTGACTGCTTAAAAGTTCTAAAAAGAAAAGAGAGAAGTTTTTCGGTAAAAAAAATCCCAAACTTTGGATGGCTCTAAAATCAATAATCGCCGGGTGGACGGTATCTGTCATTGGGCCTGACGTGCACGGCTTTCCACGCAATGCTGACTCAAGAAGCGCGGTTGGCAGGACCTCTACCACCAGTCGTACCACCGGGCCGGAGTGGTCTTCGCCTCCATCACCAACTACCACGAGTTCTACATGGAGCTCGACGGCAACAACCAGGGAATGGAGTGTCTGAGGCTGTTGAATGAAATTATTGCCGATTTTGATGAGGTGAGCATTTTTAACTATTGTTACGCCAAGCAAAGCTAATTGGAGGATTCAGGGTATTATTATACAGAAATACATACATTATTCTTACAGATTATGCCAATACGATAATGTCGAGAATAAATAAAATATAACAAAGTATATAATATTAAAGAAAGAGCAGTGTTGGCCTAGTGTCTTCAGCGTGCGACTCTTATCCCTGAGGTCGTAGGTTCGTTCCCGGCTGTACACCAGTGGACTTTCTTTCTATGTGCGCATTTAACATTCGCTCGAACGGTGAAGGAAAACATCCTGAGGAAATCGGCTTGTCTTAGACCCAAAGAGTCGACGGCGATTTCGTCATTATTCAATCTGACGGTAGCGCCACTGCGTTTTTATCCGTAGCTAAATTCCTATTGTGAGTAAATCAAATTATGTTTTTAAAATTTAATTTACATTTCAGTTACTCGGCGAAGAACGATTCAGTGCGATTGACAAAATAAAAACTGTCGGTTCAACGTACATGGCAGCGGTCGGTCTAATACCGGACAAGAAGATGGCCGACGACCCGAGCACAAAGAAACATTTAGCGACACTTGTGGAATTTGTCTTCGCTATGAGAGATAAACTTAAAGATATTAATGATAATTCTTATAACAACTTCATGTTACGAGTTGGTAAATATTTTTTCTAAAAATTATTTTTAATCTTACGTTTAGGCACTTTAAAATATATATTGTATGTCTATGCCTACTTTTTAATAATTGTTTTAATGCAATTGCGAAACTTTGGTACGAATTACGGAGACGTTCGTATGAAAATATATATAAATATGTATGTTTGAACCTAAAAATATCATCAGATGTAATATTTTGTTTAAATCCAGCCATTGTTTATAACATTTTATCGATCTTGTTATAAACGGAAGTTGAATTTTCGTTTTTTTTTAGGAATTACAAAAAAATATTTACACTTTGTAAACCTACCTATTGCAGGCATAAACGTCGGACCAGTCGTGGCCGGCGTGATCGGGGCGAGGAAACCCCAATATGACATTTGGGGCAACACCGTGAACGTCGCGTCTCGCATGGACTCCACGGGGTTGCCCAACCACACTCAGGTCACGGAGGAAGTCTTCCAGGCCCTCAAAGACTTGCCTTATCAATTCGTGTGTCGGGGGAAGGTCAAAGTGAAGGGTAAGGGGGAAATGACAACCTATTTCTTGACAGACCGAGCGCCCACGAGCACCAACAACCACCATATTATCAGTAATCCAGCTAATCCGCCAAATCCTCCCACCGCCTACGGCGGCGTAGCGACTCCTTTAGCCATGTTGCAAAACTCGGCGCGAAGAGCCGTAGCGCCCGCGTCAAGACTTCCACCCTTACGAGAGGCGACCACCGCCGGAGAGAATGAGCCACTGCTCCCAAACAACCACCAGAACGGCAACAAGGGCAACAAAGGACGCAGAAATAACGTCGAAGATACTCCCCCTCCGCCCCCACCCCACGGTATAAACGGCAATCCGAGGTGGCCTCCCCCGAGAGCTCTGGTTCCTCCCTGGCCTAGACCCCAGGAGCCTCGACCGCCGGTCGCCCACAAGAGGAGAGCTCCCCCCAGGTTACCCAGACCGAGATCCAGCGAAAGTTTGCCCTTAGCGAGAAGTCCGAGGGTCCACTCGTCCGCCGACGAACTCAGTTCGCTGACGCGCTCCCCGAGTCTGAGCTCCTCCGACGAGAGTTATTCCCGGACGACTGACGCTTCCCCTTCACCCCCGCGAGCCGCCCAATGGCAGCCCCCTCGACCTCAAAAAGTCGAAATAAACCCGAACCCGGGATACGACTATTACTCCCCCGTCAGAAAGGAGTCCCCCAACATCATTTACGACTTCTATCTTAAGCACAGATTGAATAAAAAGCCGTCTCTCGATGACAAACTCCTCGATGGCAGTATAAACCTTCACAAAGATGACGACAAATTGCAGAGGAGCATATTGAATATGCATCAGATGTCCGCCAAGAGAGACGGCAGCAGCCAAACGGATAAAAAAGACGTCCCGCACAGATTTACGCAAAGGACGAGCTCGTTTTCGAGTTCGGGTAGTCGTCCGACTAATTTGAAACATTTGAACGATGCAAGGGAAGTCTTCACTAAACGCAGCCCTTCTGACATCGCCTGTGTTCCGCCATTCGAAAGGGAGATACAGAGACTACTCGACGATAAGAATCTCGTGTTGAATTCTCCAAAAATCGAAAGAAAGGATTTGAAATTGGACCTAAGGTAAGAAAGTTTTTGTAAATAAAAGTAATGGATTTGGAAGTTATTTTAACTTGCTAGTTATTCTTCTATTTTTGGCTACACTCGAACAAAAAAATAATATGGTATGAGTCAAAACCACTTCCTGGTTGTAAACTCGCTGATGAAATTTAGAATTTCAGATCATTTGCTACGTATAACTATAATTGTAACCACCTCAGGGCAGCGAACGCGTGCGTCGAAGCAGTGCGCGCGAGCAACAACAACAGCAGTCCGCTGCACGCAGTGGGTTTGGCCGCCATCACCCACTTGGCCAGGAACGACCCTCCCGTCCTCGCGCACCCCCCCGTGTTACCCTCTCCCCGGACGGACTTCCCGGGCGTCCTGCCCACGGATGTAGTCGTGGACTTGCCTTCACCGACGCATTCCAAGCAGAGCACCAAGTGAGTTGTATAATTTGAACTTAACAAGCTTTTTAGAGTTTAATATATGTACCAGAAAAAAGTTATATTGACTAGAGACATATTACATTCAATAAAAAGATTCTTGTGTTGTCATAGCTCAGTTTTGGACAGTCTATAAATTAGTATTAAATAATATTGTATGTACTGTGCAGCAAAAATAGTTTTAGTAAGTGAAATGATTGCACACTTTCATTTTATTTCAGTCCTCCACCACGAAAGGAACCTGAAATTACCAAAGAAAAGCGAGAAAATGTGGAAAGACTACATCACCGGGTATGTAATCTTTAATCAGTATTTTTCATTTATTTGGACAAGGGTTTTCAGGGAAAAAGCCTGACTAATTAGAAAATAAGAAATCTTATCAAACCGTTAACTTGTTTTGAAACGAATTTCTTTGTTTTCAGGTACCCCACCATCGAGAATTAGGTGTTTACGGAGAGAGTCAATCCGAGTGGAGTTCCTCGTGCTCCGAAGGAGAGGGAGAGGGAGAATGCGGACAACCGGAGAGCACGGGCTACACCACAGACGACCCAGCTCTGGAAAACGTGTCTATGCTCAACGAAGCCGGTCTGACGGACGCCGAGGCGGCCCTGAGCGACGTCAACTCCTGTTACTTCGACCGGGATGATGATATCTCTTCCCGGGCGTCCTCTCGTCTCTTGGACTCGGAGGCTCTGGTCTCCTTGGAGTCCCTCAGCGCTATTTATGACTCGGACGAACCGGCTCACAGGTATTTGGCGAACATTCGAACTGTCAGCGAATCCATCACCAGGAACTTCGGCCAGTCCGCTCACATGACCGACGGCGAGAGCGACGTTTGATGGCTCATGTCTCGGCACGGTTTTACCCGCGTTTCAATCGTCAAAATGGCAGCGCGTTTAACCGCCCGCGGGTAAGAAACGCGACCCAGCTCTCTTATGAAATACTCACTCTAGTGCTCGTCCTTCCACTGTGATCGTGTCACTTAAGATGTGCCTGATTCTGTGTATTTGTGTAAATTGTTAATATGTATATGTACTGTAGTGCCATGAGATGGTGCCAGGAATCATCTAGAACGTGATCTCTACAATTACAAGGTGCTCTGACTTAGTAATATTTGTTCGACTTGTGATAGACCAATCTGTCGGTGTCGAGGGCTGGCCCCTTCTCGAGATTGACTGCTCGACCTGTAGATATAAGTAATGCTGCATTTCATTGTGTATTTAGCGTAATGTTCTCTCTCGAATATCTGCGCTTTGACGGACGAGTCCTCTCTTAGTTCTAGTCAGTATTTTTTGTCGTTAGTGGCATCGGTCATCACATCAATTTTAAATAATCTCGTAGCCCGATTAGGCGTTGAATAGATTTGAATTTACCCAAAGTACAATCCGAATATTTGTTGTAGAATATTCTCAAATATAATAGAGGTTAGTGGATTATTTCGTGTCAATTTCATGTATTCGAATTTTCGTAGAGTAAGTAGCTTGTCTAAGGTTATTTTTGAAATTTAAAGTCTGTACTTAAAATATTGGAAATAGTTAAAACATATAGGTATTCATAAAATTTGACATGGCTAAACTGACCGACTGTAGATTATGTGATCAATTCTTTTCGACTGTATGATTAAAACTTGACCATATTTATCCGATTTCACGTGGGTACTATCAGCAAAAGCTTGACACATAGAAATAATAGCATTGAAGATTTTATAACTTAAATTCTGACACAATACCCGCACTTATTGATGAAATCTAAAGAAAATGTTTCGTGCTTCGACTATTCGAAAAAATCAAATGAAAATGTTAAAGTACTCTTGCGATTGTTTTATAGTTTCTGCTGATAGTACCTATGTGTAATAACTTATTTGTTTCCGTGATATTAATATAACTTTGTAAATATCGTTATACTGTCAAGTGCTATATATTAAATAAGTAGGTTTAGTGAACAACTTTTTATCTATCATTTGCCTTTTTAGTGGAATTTATAATTATTCGTGCCAAATACTGTGCTTATTAAGTGGTTGGTTAAGTTCATTTTTAAATATTTCTGTTAAGATAAGTAATAACGATTTTAAACTGAGACAATTAACCTATAATAGACTTGTAATTCAAAGTTACCATTTTCAATAGCTGTGTATTATTTCAAATGTAATGGACATACTTCCAAATCGATTATCAACGTCAATTGTCACCGTCAATTGTCACCATCAATTGTCACTGTCTATGTCGACGCCAACCATATTTGACTGACCTTAACTGCAATAATCAGATTTTGGAATATGGTCTCTATAATCAATTTGTAAAAATTGTTGTTTAATCATGTAGCTATTTCGATGTAAACTTGTTTCTTATTTATTTGATTATGCAATATTATAATTCTTTATAACTGATTAAAGTGATTTAAATTATTTTATTGTTGTTTATTATTTGGTACTTCCCTTGTGTTCGCTTTTTACTATAGTAATACTATAAATCTGTTATTCATATGAAAATAATGACGATCTAAATCAATTAAATACGATCTAATAAATAAATAGACAAATATTACGAATACAATGTAAATAAATAATATACAAAAGCAAAAATATTATTTTTGGCCTTGGTAATTGTATTCGAACTAATTATCAACAAATAAAAAATACCTACTATGAAACTCTCTCTGCAGAAGAAAAGAAAGAAGTTGAAAGATATTATGTAGATAGCAAAGTCAAAAAGTACGGTTTAAGTTAAACTGTTAAATATGAAATCGATTTGACGGTTATTCTTTAAACCTATTAAAATTCCTTTTAACCTCAAAGGAAGACACGTAGCATTGTCGGTGAGTGTAATATACAGCATACAAATAAGCTATGTAACCTTGATCAACTATATTAAGACTAATATGATTAAAACATTACTCAACTATTACGTTGTATATAGGTACATAGTTATGTAATATATTTTTAGATAGAAATATAGTTTTTCAACAGCTTTACGATAAGTATGATAATGTACAAATATATCTGTACTTATTCCCTTATAACATTTGCCCCCCAAGTTTTCCAAACCTGGTACATCCGCTGAATACTTAATTCATATGTAGTTTCTCATTATGATACTGTATTACGTAGTTTCGCATTTTACTAATCGTCATAAGGAAAATGATTATTAATATCCAACAAAATCCAATATCATTACAATGCTATTTCCTGCGAATGCCGTAAATTGAGTTTCTATTTTTTAATAACCATAATTGGAAACTAGAAACTGATTCGCATTTCCTTATCCTTTATAAAACTACATATTTTCTAATCCACTGACATAATTATCACAACGTGTTCAAACCAGGCCAAAAAAACTGTTTCAAGAGGGGCACAGAACACCAAAAATGTTTCACCTATATACTTCTTAAATACTTCGTAGCTATGTAATACTTATAAACGTAATGCGTTAAAAGTATACTGAAATCAATTCCCCCGACATAATATTTATTGCGGGAAAAGGGCTCATATTACAATGGGTTACCTACGTATCCACCTTATCCTAGAGTATTATTAAAGCTTTATTAATCCATACAACAATTATTGGTTAGTTTACATTCCTTAATATTAGTATTAGTTGTGTTAAGTTTTAAATAATGTAAGTTAGATTTATTTTTTAATGGTCTAGTTTTTGTAGTCTGTGGTCTAGTTTTAGCTCGCAAAAGAAATCATTTATAAGAAGATTATTTATGAGATATACAAAAATATATTATATGTTACATGTAAATTGTTGTATAAAAAGTCTTTGTACCAGGCCAGCAGGAGGTACAAGGAGCTATCAATGCTTGGTTAAATCTTGCAGCCAATATGAAAAAACACAATGAATATGAAAAGTTATCTTTAAGCGGCCTAGAGAGTCTGTTTTTAGGGTAAAAGCCTGTTCCATATCTTTCCATTTCTCTTTGTCTTGTTATTCATCCAGTTTTTACCCGCTAATTCTATAATGTCATCTGTACATCTTTTCTTTTGCCGTCCTATACATCTCTTTCCGGTAGGTCCGGTCCATTTCGTTATTTCTAGTGTCCATCTTTTTTGTATACCCTACAAATCTAAATTATTAATAATAGCAATATAATAATGTTTTTAGACTCAGAATCAAAGGTTAAGAGTTAGATAACAAATGTCATGATAATGGTTGGCATGGTGATGGGTATTGATTATATCAGTTCCTGGGACCAGTTGGTACAGAAATGAGGTCAAAGATATAGTTTTTGTAGTCTCAGACTTACTCTAGCCAGCAACTTTGTCTGACATATTTTTCAGACACAATTGTGCGTCTGGTTCATTGCTCAATTGGAAGTTTTCGTGTGGAAACGATATTCTTTCGCTCGAACTAAAAAGTCATAGAGGCGGTAAAGGTACCCTACACATAAATCTTGAAGCTTATTATGCAGCTAGATAGAACCCGCATACCGAAAATACAAATATTTTAAACCGGGACCGACACTCAATCATTTAAGAATAATAGAAAAGTTATTTTAGACAAGCTATTCTGAATTGAAACCTTAAGAAGAAGATAAGCTAGTGCTTTAAGTATAAAATGTTTATAAATACAGTAGACATAGAACGGCGATAGGTATTGTAATTAATACAATAAAAAGCTAATGAAATTCTTGGTACACGACGTTATGTTCTCTAGGAATACGTGAGTCAGGACATACAACGCGCCAGCAATGACTGGTTGTTAAATTCAAAAATTCATGGCGGTTGGTCTGCGGTCGTGATGTGCTTTGACGCATAAAGACAACCGATCCTATCTTAATAATTTACAATGCAAGAGTAGAGAAATATTGATGATAGATATTGTATTTTATTCTAATCGTTATTATCTACTTTTCGGTTTAGAAATAAAACATTTACCTTGTCTAGACCCAAAGGTATGGCAGGTATGAACTATGACGCGGCCCGCACAGCTGCCCCTCGCGTCGCCGTCGCTCATTGGCTGCGAGAACCGGTTTTGTACCCCGCGCCGCGCCCCCCTCGTACAACTATCAAACGAATTCTTATTCATACACCTCGTCACGACCGTTGCTGCCGCAGAGCGTGCGCATCGAGTCTAATTTTCCGCGTAATCTTATCGAAATGTGAAACGCGGAATTCTTTATTGTACTCAATAAAAGTGATACCATAAGTCAATTTCCTACGAGTGCAAACAGCACGCTAAACGAGCGCTATGAAAACATTCAGTCATTGTGTTTTTGTTCTTTTTGTATCAACTGCGCTTCGTGGTCGGCCTCAACGTAAGCTTACCTTTGCCATGTGCGTAAGGTAGAAGTGCTTCTGTTAGTTTATAAAAAACTAATATGTTAGCTTAGCGAGTGTGTGGTGAAGTGTCTCAGTGAATCATAGTTGTCAATATGAAAGTGACAGTGTGTTTTGGTGCTGTGCGAGTGTTGGTACCTTGTGGGGCTGGCGACCTTTTGGTGAGGGACCTCGTACGGGAAGCAACGCTGCGATATAAGAAAGCCACTGGACAGGTAAGATTAATTCTTTAGTTGTATTTAAACGGTTTATTATAAAATAACAACCATATTGAAAACCCTGACTAACAAAACCGCTTTAGTACATATTATGAAACGTTTTTTTCGCGCCATTTAACTATCAGAGGCAGGTAATTGACAAACGGGATCGGCATACTTGTCGGCAATTAATGATGTTAAGTTAATAAATCTATGCATCCAATTGTAAATTATAAAGAAATTGCTCGTATTCCATAGGACCTTTTCGCACATTTGTGTAATACAACTATTAATTTGTGTCAAATTAAATAGACAAAACACTATACGTTAATTATTTAATAATGTATAGAAACGTAACATAAAGCTTTAACTAATATTGCAAAACAACTACTAGAAACTGGTTTATGAGCAGTTATAAGATTAATACAACAGGGAATATCAATCTTGTATGGTCTGGTTTTAGTGTCAGGTTTGAGACTAGACTACCCTTTATGTTTGTCCGATAGTTTCGTAATGGCACTTCTAGTTTTTGCGTATCTAATGGAGGAATGTACGTGCAGGCGGACGGCGGACCACTTTCGCGACATTTTATCAATTTGATATAGTGGTTGTAGCGGTATCTCGTGGTTAAATTATGGAAGTAGCGTATTGAATTCTCAATTTACGAATTAACCAAACGAAGCCAAATGTATTATGTTTTCCCGTTGGTGGTTAAACCGTTAGGTCAGCTGTTGCGTCAGTATTATTTTGTTGCATAAAATTACGCGAAGTTTGCAGTGTGATGCCTTTATATACGTCGATTAACTGAACTAAAAGAGGTAGTTCATACGGGGTGTACAGTTCATAGCAGTATATTAGCGCGTAGAATTATAAGACTCTATTTATCCGATCTGTGACTCAATTTGCAAAGCAAATCTATTTCGCTCACGACATTCGCTAACTTTTCTCCTTTCTTGGTACTTTTTGTAGAAATTTAATTTTTCCTTAAGTATTTACAGTCAAAATAAATAAAATAGCTGTTTATAAATTTCTAAAAAAGCCTTGATTACGATGCATTATCCATAGCCATTTGAGGTAGACTTTAAATTAAATTACACACCCTTACACATATTCACACACCCACAACCACTCATGCTTTAGTTTTATTTTGTTTATTACTTTAGTTTAGTCACAGTATGTAGTCAGGTCTTTGTATATTTTTGTCCGCGATGAAAAACTTGTGATCACAGGACGTCTATAGTCCTATTATAGGCACCAGCCCCTCACAAAGATGACCAGTACCTGCAGCATGTAAACCCATGCAGTATTGTGAAGAGGCAATTAAACTAGCTGATGCTCATGTCTTCGCTAGGATGACTGATGATGATGAGTTTAAATCAGTTCAGCGGTGCGTGAAGATAATACTATTGCATTTATTACATACGATAGTTAAGGATTATGAGAAACCTCTGTACAAAACTGAGCCCCAATCTCTTGCTGCAGTCAAACTTTAATTAACAGTTAATTGTTACTTAAGCCTATAGGCTAATACAACATTGATAACTAAAGGACTTCCTTTATTTTCGCTCTTTATAATTTAATAGCCGACGCTATGCGTTCCCAGTTATAGGTCCATACATATATTTATTTCCTAGTTACATTACATCATCTGCCCTTACACCTGACTCCCACATTGCTTAGCTGGTAGGTAGTTTCGACCTTACAAGTTTATGCATAATATGCACTTGTAAATTATCTTATTAGCTGACCTTGTTCGAGGATTTTCTTTTGTCTCGAGCATGCTCATGAATATTACGTATATGACGGATTGGTTCAAATTAATCTAAAATATTAAGTGTATTAATGAGGCCTACCATAGATAGAAGATAATAAGATGTTAAGCAAGCGAAACCTGGTGATATTTATAAAAAAATTGATTAATAATTTTAAAATGAAATCTTTACACGTGTAAAATATACCGTTTAGATTTGTTATATGTATATAATACATTTTTTTTCTTGTTATCGTAACTTTCTTCATCTATTGATCGGAACCCCTTCACGGGTAAAGGCCTCCTCCAACTTTTCCAAATATGTCTATCCGTGGCGTTCTTTCTTCATTCGCCTGCTAAGAGTTCTCCTATCCACCTTTTTTTAGGGCGCTTTCAATTGCTTTCTGGCATACGAGTGGTTTTTATTATTGTGTTGTATGTCCACGTCTGGCAGCCTTTCTGAGAGAAGGTAAGATACAAGTTTCCAAGAAAATCTTCTTTAGGTGAAGGGGAAATTGCTAAAAATTATTCCAGCTCATGAAGAGAGCGAGAGCTCGGCCCCAGCGGCAATGTATTTAAACAAAGAAACTCAAAAAATAGTGAACCGATTTTTCAATATTGTTTCCCCAATAATTATTATCCCTAAATACCATTGGCTGTATTTACTTCAAAATATTTTAAGCGTCAAGTACCGTACAAGTTGGCATGTCTTCTCCAAAGTCTATTGATAACCAATATAGAACTTTTTGTAATTGTTGTATAATATGACATCGATTCGCGATTTACATGTTTGTATGTAATGTACTAAATACCTAGTTTTGGCAACGTTGCGCATGATTGGACCACGATTGCACAATTGAAAGGTCGCAAGGAACTAACAAGCAGTAAATGATCGCTTTCTGCTCCACTGGGCATGTACATACCTTTAATTGGCAACTTTTCAACATTCGTAAATACTATATTTTATATAAATAACTCAATATATCTTTTAAGTATGTAATTCAAGAATCAAGAGCATCTCATCTTAGACGATCCATGCATCTTCTACCGCATTTATCATAGAGAGTGTTCTATATATAAAGCTCAAATTCGCACATGGAGAACTGTTCTGATCTCTGAACGGGAGCTCCCCAGTACCCTTTCCGAGCGGCTTGATCACTTGGCGCTGCGTAGAGATGTGGGGTCACGCTGCATCTTCTACCGAATTTATCATGGAGAGTGTTCAGAGGAGTTGTTCGGATTAATAACTGCAGCTGAGTTCATCATCGGACGTCAAGGCAGAATACGAAATACATTCCGTATCACCTCGACGTCCGTCGTTCCACAACTGAGCGTTTCTTAAGGCAGCTGGCCACTGACGTATTTTCCAACTAATGCGTCTTAGGGTCCTTCAAGAATATAGCGTACCAATTCTTTAAAAGCCGGCAACGCCCTTGCGAGCCTTCTGGCAATGTGAGTGTCCATGGGCGGCGGTACCTATCACTTAACATCAGATGAGCTTCCTCCGTTATATAATCTCCTCTGTACTATCTCTAAATAGCTGAACATATATTGATAGTTTCTTAATAACTGACGTTTCGATTACTTTCCTATGTATCATATATATATATATATATATAATATTTTTGATTTGTTCATTCCGTTAGTCAATAACTCGTGTAAAATAAAACGACTTAATATAATTGTTTCCTCTTTTGTTTACTATACAAAGAGTAACACCCTTTTCGCACGCGTTTAAAATTGACTTGGGCACTAAAAATCGCTAAAACAATGGATTCTTTGATAGAGCCACCTAGGCAGGTATATGTATTGTGTGATGACTGGTCCCGAAGACCGGTTTTGAGACCATTATTTCCATGAATAACATATTGTATGGTAATCTGGATATTTGAGATGCATGGAATTTTAACACGTTATTTCAATCAAGTGATATAAAAACTTTATGTTGATGATTGATGAGAAAATATCGATATTGTAAAGGAATTACGTATTTTAATATAATATATATATATATATATATATATACAATATACATGTATAGTTAGGGATAAAAAGAGTGGTGGAGTGATTATTGCCAGTTCTTCTCGTCTTTTGTACGACCTTGATTTGAGAACTGGCGGTTAATGTAAAATAAGAAGCATTTAATATGTTTTTCTTTATTGACATTCATAAGTGTACATTGTGTTACCTAAATTAATAAATAATTTTGAATTTTGATATACATGAACTATGTAATACCTAAGTAACAAAACACACATGAAGTCTTGTTTTTATTTTGATAATTAAATATGTTTGAATCCTGTAAAGTGTATTTTCCATTTATCTTCATAACTCTCAATTGAGGTTCTAAGGCTGAACACCTACTCACCTTAAACGATTAATAAAACAAAAATATAATATGTCTTTCTTTTACACGAGAACCAAACAAATCAAACGTGGGACCAACGTTTATATCCGATAAACAACTTGAAAGAAATTGACGGACTGAGTCACATGTCCATTGCTAAATATTCTACAAGATTGGAATTTTCTTATGAAAAATAAAATTCTGGATGAAAGGCGAATAATAATAAGTTATATATCCAGTAAGAAATGTTATTAAAACAGAAATGTGACCCAAGCCCCTTTGGGGTGTTACGAGACATCATCCAGAGTGGCACATGTGCAAATACGTCTTAAGTGCATCAATTAATTTTAGCATTGGGAATGATAAAGTTGGTATTGCCATGTGTTCGTGACAAGTGGACGAATGGCGTCGGGATGTCCGAATATCTTTCCAATAAACATGTGTTCCGCCCCCAGCATCGTTTACAAGAACGAAAATCACGAAAATTTCGTGTTTTTTGGGACCTCTTCAAGAATTATCGTTTTATTTCAGTCAATTAACATGTACAACTAGGAACAATCAGCTGGTGAAAACTGTATTAAATCCGTTTGGGGACTTCATTTTATAAAACAGATATAATATTTTAGAATCTATTTTTGAACGTAAATGTTTTACATGTTTATATTTTCTTAGGTAATTATTTAGACAAATAAATATAAGAATGTTTTAGCCTATAATTAAAAATTGATAAATAGAAAATTTAAAAATTAAAAAAGTTTATTCCCTACCCTTAAGGTACACAACCTTTAACGCTGGCAGCATTTCTTATTCGTTGAGCGAGGAAAGCACCAGCTCTGGGGTCACGGGTACTATTTACCAGGCGCCAACTTAAATCTTGTTTAAATAATTATAATTTGTTTAAATAAGCAATTAGCAAGCATAATAATGTATATATATTTAATTAATTTTTTTCTTTAGTCACTAGCCTACTGTAAGACCACTACAGTTATATATATATACGTCAAAAATATTGTTTCTAAGAGTTATATATGTACATTATATGTGAATTTGGAGTGTGAGTCGAAGGTTTATAACGTATAAGTCTTCCTAATCTTACGAATCGTATACACATAAGTAAGTTGACTGTTCACTACTCAATATATAATTTCCTTTATAAACCGGACGAAGCAAAAACTGTTAATGGGTGAATATACGCTATTTGATTTTTTTGTGTCCCTGAAGGAAATTTAATCTGTTCCATTCAATATTGATTATTCCTCTATTTGACATTATTTTGTAATTTGTAATGATGAGGGCCAGAAGATTTTTCCATTTTTTTTAATTTTATAAGCACCAGAGGAAAATGTGTTACCAGGGGAGTGACACTATTGGCAGAGTAGTGACAAATTAAGGCAGGGTAGTGACAGGCCATTGATTATTAGCTAAGAAAGGGGACTAATATTAAATTAAACATATATAAATTATAGTATTTGAATATTTTTTAATATACAAGATACATTCAGTCTTTACAGTTTCTAAATGCAACCTTATTTTTAATATTAATGGTTTGTTAAGGCTTAAATTTCAATTACCCGTATCAAATAACAGAATTAATCATTTCTGCTTATCAGTCTCATCTGAGATGAAAGTCACAGTACATATTTTTTGGTAGTTTTTAATTATAAAACGTTCATAAACTTAAAAGCCACGTTTAAGGCGCTTTAATCTGAATAAAATTATAGCAAAAATATGAACTTCGTTCACAAAACAAAACAATAGTACTATCTAATGATACATCTGTCAGTCTCAAAATTATTTAAACAAACTTAAAAATTATCAGTGCAAAGTAATGAAAACTTCCATTTCTTGCAAAGAACAGAATCAATAATTTCTACGGAACTAAATATTTTCTACTTCAATATTAACAATGAACAATTTACTTTTCAAACACATCAACTGGCTTTGGAAACTTGTAGAATACTCTGTTACCCTTCATACGTATATTTGGCACTGGTAATATGGTCAAGATCTGTTCCCATTTAACATCAGACACGTCATTGTCATTTATTCTAAAAAACGTAGCATCTTCATTGGAGATCTTTAAAAAAGTAACCCTGATCTCTCCTTCTTCTTCATCAAAATCTGACGAACATACGCCAGCATATCTATATTTTTTATTATTAATATTATATTCCACAAGTACAAAATCTCCGTTCTTGACAGTCATAGCAGTGTCTGCATTGTCTATAGTATTAATCACATGAGTAGATGTTTGTGCAACTATTTTGTTTTGCACATCTTCCTCAGAATCGGTGTATACTGCATCAACATCCAATTTGTTTTTTTTATTTTGGGGGTATTTAATGTCGCCTAAGTGAAAGTGAGGACAAAAATTGCTACAAAAGCAGCTGAGGCTCTTCATGTATAACGTATTGCGGAGATAGTTTCCTCGTACTTGATGTACTTTTAGTGTACCAGTAAAAGGTTTGATGTTTGGTCGATTATCTTCCATTATCTTCTTTTGAAAATCAATTTCTTCTTCGGGTATCACAAAAATTTTAATGCCGGGACAAGATTTATTTAATTCCGTAGCAAAGTCGTCAATCGTAGCAATGTCAGTTCCCAAAGCTACAATTTTGTCAGCGGTTCGTTTACATGTCCCTCCGATACCATCTGGAGCTCCTTTACCATGACCGGCTTCATGATAGTTCCAGGTAAAATCATAAATATTCGGATAGGTTTCAGTCAATTTACAAAGTAAGTAAAAAAACATATCTTTGTTACGGTACTGAGTAACAGGACCATCGCTTAAGAAATGAACGTTTTCTACCGAGGACGGAAGGAGTTTCATGACAGGTTTTAGATGAGCCCAGATTACAGGTACATTATGGTTTAGGTTTTCTGACATTGTGGCGAAACATTTTGTTTCTCCCTTGGTATATAAGACCACAGTATGCAAACTTATTTGCGTACGTGACCCACCAAAATGGAATGATTGAACTTCTGAAGAATATTTTGTATTATAATTTTCGGAAAAGTCCATATGAATCACAGCATCTTTTTCGGTTAAGTTATCTTTTAGTCTTTTAATGGTTTCATATTGATGCACTATATTCGCTTCATGCTTTAAAAAATATCAAGGTTTTCTTCAAGTTTCATCACAATGTCTTTTGGAGCACAGTTTAACGTTATTTTCTTATATTTTCGAACCCTGCGTTTTTTCATGGTTTTAGTATCTAAAATGTCCTCTGTAATACATTGCCATGAAGAGTATTTGATCAAAACAGAATTGTCGAACTCACGATAACATATGGAACGTGAATTGCAGTTAAGACATTCTCGCATAAGACATTTTTCATTGTATCGGTCGCAACATAAATAATTAAGCATGCTCTGATAGTTTGGAAAATCTATGATGTCTGCCTGTTTTAGGGAAGCCAAGGTTAGCTCCATGTTTGCATGAGTTACACACAAACAAGTTTCTCTTTGGTGGATGTTTGGGGTTACAACCCAAAAAGGTCGTAGGCGGCAAAACAGTGTGTAACTCAACTTTATATTTTTTGTATTTATAAACTTGGTGTGTAGATTTTTCATGGTGTCCTGTAATAATCTCTTCTGTCTTTTTATTTTACCTTTTGTAATGCTATCTTTTTTACCTGGGCATAATCTGCTATTGCAATCTTCTTCAAAAAACTCTGCGACTTTTTTCTCTAACTTCGAATTCGTTTTATCGTTTCTTGTCTTCCGTGTCATATCTAACAAACTTTTATTTGCAGTAGATGACTGTCTTATAGGTTTCATATTAATTTGGTTCAACACTTTATACTTCTTGACTACTTTGCCACTTAATACTTTTTTAAATATCTTCTTTTCATTATCATTCGTTGTCAAATTTATATTTTCTTTGAGTTGATTTTGGATCACCTCACTAAATAATAATTTTTTCTTCACCTCTTCTATATTCTCTTTACTATTATTCTGTAAAAGATCGGCCACTTTTGAGTTTGGAGTCATTTTCTGTTTTCCGATGCGCCGTAGTTTCTTTTGACAGTCGCGTACCTTTTGACGCAACTGTTTAATTTCATATTTTTGTTTTTTTATAAGTTGATTTCGTAGTTTCCGCTGAATTTCTGATCGCCTTTTAGCAGCCAGAGCGATATTGTTTTGTGGAAGTGGAGGTTGGTCTTCATTATCAGACGCAGGTGGTGTTAGTGGATTGTTTCTGGTAGATTGTATCTTTACGCGATCTCTATGCTTTTTAGTCTTCTCTCTCCATATTTTTCTAACAGCCCTTTGTTCCCTTTCAGTCATATCATTTATGCTCTTAATTTGTCCCTTTTCTTTTTTCTTTTTATATTGCTGCCTTTCTTTTTCTTTTAATTTGGCATTTTTAACCGGATCGTTTTTTTATTCTTTGGTAGCGTAATTTTTCAGTTTGACGTTTTTTTTCTAGCCTCTCTTCCCTAGTTTGTTTCTTTTTAACATTCGCCATGATGTCTGATTATATTCGAGTATCTAGAACAAATGAAATGAAGCCTAAAAACATTAAATAATAACGAAAAAAAAATCGTCACTTCTCTGGCGCTTATGTATTTCCTCTGGCATGAAATCTGCCAGAGAAGTGACGCCAGAGAAGTGACAAAACCGCACATAACCTACAAAAACAACATCACTCGCTTTTCTGACAACAGTTTAACGTATTACATGACATCTACACACAATAACATTGCATTGTGCAAATATACAATTTCGTAACGATAAAATACAAAAACATAGACATACCAGAGTAAATACTCAGACGACTGGCACAAACACGCTTTCCTACAGCAAATCGCAAACTGACGCAAAATTAATGTAGTTTTGCTCAACGTCGTTAGCTTGCTTCTAACTTCACACCGTTGTACGCGCATAGTTCAAGAACCAAAACATACCTATGCGGTTTTAAGTAAAATTTTACTTCTTTGAGTTTCGCCAGATGAAGTGACATTATTGTAGCATGACATGGAAATAAGTTAATTTTTCGGTATATTAATAAATATTTTTACAGTGTATTTTGATAAAATATATTTTAATGTTTATAAAAGCATATGATTATATTTTAAAAAAACATAATGGCATACGTATTTAAAGTATCTGGCTATAAAATCACTATAATCTTGTAATGGGGGAGGCCAGAGGAGTATACATTTATAACTATTTTAGACTATTAATGCCTTAACTTAAACAATTATCGTGAAAACACTATGTGGGCCAAATAAAAGACCATATTCTTTATTGTTTAAGCATACAGAAACAATAATATAATAAGTTTAACATAAATTTTGTCTATGAACCATTGGAATTCAAATAGCATATATTCACCCTAATACAAACCGCAATGCATCCTGAGATGCAGGATGTTCACGCAAAAACTAAACTAAGATTGAAAGACTCAAGATACGACAGTCCGTCCATTGCGATTGGCTTACAGCATCTCTAGTCCAATCACGATTTCGCGACACGATAGGTTTTGTTCGACTCAACAATCAAGCGAAATCCACCATCGCATCGACGTCTCTATTGCTTGCTTTTAAATCCAGGCTGGCAACACAGAAAATGCTTAGAATGGCTGCAATTGCCTATTATGTCAGCTTACTGCTGTCTGTACGGCTTCCATTGCCAACATATATAACCTTCCTGATTTGTTTATTGATTTAAATTAGATTCAAACAAACCCCATAAATTAAACTTCTAATTTAAATCCCTTTAATCCAACTAAACTAAAACTATACATATTATTCATTAATAATCTCTCTCTCTCAATCGGTCTCAATGGCTCTCTGTCTTTTCTTGAACGAAAACGCTGCACATCTTCGTGACGGTAATATTATTATTGCGTTTCATCCGTAAAAATTTTATCCTCATGCGCCTAAAGAAGTTTTTAACTTCAAAAATAGCCTTGATTCGAGTACTACATTAGCCTGTCAATGTCAAACATAAGTACTCGATCTGGAGTGAATGCCTTCGCAAATTTCTTCCAGTTACCTCTCATCCTCGCCACAATTTTCCAATCCTTCCCCGCTATCCCTTTTATTAATTATTCATCTAAAAGAAAATACTTTACCTGAAATAAAATGTAATACGTATTTCATCGGACAGAAACTCTTGATAAGGCTTTTTAGGTACATCTAATATTACTAGAGAATTACTCATGCGCACGTGTAGTGATCACGTCTCGCGTCCATAATAGCTATCCGGTTTGCACAGCAACTTGGCTTATCACTCGAAACTTGATCTTATAAGCTGTCCTAAGCATATTAGTCACAATAAGCTCCCCCGTGATAAACTTTCTTCGTATTGAATTTTTTTCATGCTCCCAGGTGCAAAGACAAGAATAGCCCAGTAATAATCAATATTCGCAACACACAAGTGTATAGGGCACATGTATAAGGTGATTTTCCAGAATTAATGCCCTTTCACTGAGACAAAATATTTTAAATATACAATCTGATTCAGAATAATAATGGATGGATAATGGATTCCTATTGAACAATTTTACAAGAGACGTTGCTGTTTTGTGTTACGACTTACGCTTTTGTGTAACGAAGAGAAATATCGTTATACATAGTAGGCAAAAGTTATAGTTTTATATTTTTTCCGTGTCTATTGTTATTCTTAAAGTATTCAACTAAATGAAGGCAATTTTTCTTATTTTTTAGATTGACTTATAATATTTTATTTAGCCTAGCCTTTATATTCCGAAACTCTGTGACTTGTTATCATTAATATGTTTTCACTATAGTATATCTTGCAGTTCAGTGTGCCTCTTGGCAAATTATGCCTCCTCTAACCCTTTCCACTGTTCTGCAGCCTGCTGTTAGTTTGAGTTCGTCCTCCCATCTTTTGCGTTGTCGGCATCTCCTTCGTTTTCCGTCTCTAGGGTACCATTCCGTCAATATTTAGCTTGTAGCATAATATGTACCCGTCCATCTCCATTTCATTTAGTCTATCTTAGTGAGAATGTCTGTCACACCTGTTGTAGCTCTTGTCTGTGTTTCTTTGCTTGTCTAGCTGTCTTATTCTCAGGATACTTCTTTCCATGGCTCTTTCGCAGTGTGTAGCACTGCTATATTTATTCTGAAATCTGTTGTTTGCATGATATCCTTCAGTGACCAATATCTTACCATCCATTTGCTATTCTTCTTTTGATCTCTTTGGTGGTTATATCAGTTAGAGAGATGATTTACCTCAGATGTACTCTTCATTATTTTCGAGAGGTTGGTTACTAAGCTTTATTTCGTATAGGTTATGATTGACTTAATATTTATTAAAAATAATTATATCTCTAATATATTTTACTAATCTTAATGGTTATAAAAATGGACCGATTAAATATATCCTAAGTAATTCGTATTTAGGTTAATTAAGTAATACGTGTTATCTCTTATCATTTTTGTTCGGTTGGTACTTGGTAATTGATGACTACTCGACTGAGGTGACTCACGTACAGTAGGTTGTAAACATTATTCATTAAGCGTAAATAATTTAATTCAAATTTTAATTAAGTTATCCTTATCTTTATTAAATATGACAATAAAAAAATGTTTATATTATGCGTGCAATGAAAAACCTGGAAATCCCATATCATGTTTATTCCTTATGGTATTCTCCGAAACGGCTTCACCGATTTTTAGGTAATTGCTATATTTAATAATAATAGGTGACAAATAGTATTATTAATTCATATATATAATATTTAATAATTGAAAATTATTTCTTGTAATGGACTGTATATTTACAGAAGGTGTTAACGAATATAATTGTATGTTTTGTTTAAAACATTTGAAATTAATAGTTACAGATTATTAATTTGCGAAACGATACTCATTTATTAAAATACCCCAACATCATATAAAATGCATTTTTTACAAGATATGTATTCTAAAGTACCTACATGATAATTACGGTGAACATAAATACATATTACACTGCCAACTAGGAATTTCCTATTTAAAAATACTTATTCGCTTAAGAACGCTTTTTTTAATCGATTAGCCCACTACCAACTAATATCATAGAATAAGAGGTGCCTGAATTTGGAAGATTCTGCTGGTTTTTCAACCTTGGGAATGAATAAGAGACGACAATGTTGATATTCTGTAAGAGTTACTGTATGACTATTTCACAATTTGTATAAGATAATATATAAACAACATTCAACATAGTATGTTTCTGCAAACGTTGATTATGTATCTGTATATGTTAAACCAGACTTTATTCTAACTAAAAGAAACGAATACTTTCGTGGATATATATTCAGAATTGATAACTTTGCAAATGTAAATAAAGTAAACTCCATTACCCGATAAATTATGACTTTACCGGTATGTGTGTCGTTTTGCGTCAGAAATATGCGGGCGGCCTCGCATTTAGTCCCTTACTCTAAAACACGAAATATGTATTCAGAGAGTTCTCTTTTGAACGCGATTATAAGCCATTTCTATTGTAATAAATTTGTGTGTGTTGGCCACAAAAATACATTTTGTCAGCCCTCTATTCCACCATAAGACAGTACCAATTCGATTTAGGGTACTTCAAGAAGAAAGCGTTCCACCCTCAATCAGTCAGTCCTTCGAGAAAAGAGCGTACCAATTTTTTAAAAGGCCGGCAACGCGAGCCCTCTGGCATTGAGAGTGTACATGGGCGACTAACTTAACATCAGGTGAGGCTAATGCCCGTTGGCTCCGTTCTATAAAAAAATCGAATACTCATTTTCAGAAAATATATCTTTAGACTCTATAAGAGATCATTTGATGATACAAACAAATTTTGAATGGGTTAATTTTATTATTATTATTATTTTAGCCCGACCAGGCAGATATTGTCAGTATATATATATATAACGCATGGTCATTTTACCTCTTAAATGTGTACTGATACTTGGTAAAAATGTGGTCAATGTGGCCGAAATATATGCTTTAATTTTACAACAAAAACCTAACAAACACTAAATAAAGTAAGAAATCAATTTTTTATGATTTCGTGCTATTCGTCCATAATATATAACATGATTCAGTTCAGAGTTTTTGATTGCGGAAAATAACATTGTTACGTGTTATCTAAATTACCGTCATGGGTAAAAAGATGGGTCGAAACGATTATAATATTTTTATTTCCTCAAGCCAAGCATTAAGTATAAAACCATTCGCAAACGAAAGTCTTTAAGAAAATGACATACAGCCTTCACATTTAATTCCTTAAAAGTTCTTAAAAAGTTCGTTAAAATGGTTCTATATTGTCTGTTACATAAAAAAAAAGTTTTGCAGTAGGTATCATTCCGCTTTTAATTTTGTTAAGAGACAAGGTTAGTGTCTTGAATATTAAATATCTATATATACATTTCCCTACATCGTGAAAATAATAATAATTAAAAATTAATTAATATAATTCTATAACAATTTTTAAAAGTTTCGAGCTATACTTATGCGTTGAGCGAGAAAAGCACCAGCTCTG